GGCAATAGGTTTCGTTGTGTCAAATGGGCCTCATGAACTGAACGCGTCTCCCCGCGCCACTTGCGCGACAAGGTTGACCGCACAACACCATGCTTTGTAGCTATTTTGGTCCAGGGAATATCTTCTTCGGTCTCAAAAGTATCACACTCTGCAAGGGCTTCTTCTAATGCTGTCATGTTGTTGAGCTGTTGGGGTTGATAAAATGGGGTGCAAAATGCATTTGGCGCATCTGGTGATGGCGTGCATGTGCTGACTAACTACGGTATGCTAGGTACGCTAAGCTCGAAAAGTACGGAACGAAATTGAGGTTCGATCACGGACAAATCCGGAACGTGGTCTTCTGAGCCTCAGCATCTCCAAAAACCTCGGCTCTTACTCTCTCGTTACCAGACTTCCTATCTGTTATGCCGATGTGAAGGTTGTCTCTTGCGATAGTATTCAAGCAAGGCGTGACCTGATCTCAGCTTCTAATTCACGAGTCAACGTACCAAGATATAAGGCTGAACAGCATGTAATATTTCCTTCCAAAGCTGTATCTATAGGGAACATGAACTATGTAATCACTTACGCAGTAGAACAGATTAATAGAGGCAGAATGGTGATGTTTAATCTTACGAGATTGCAAAGCAGTTGCGGCAGGGGTGGATTTGCGGGATGCAGTGATAGGCATTAGTGTTCATTTGCCCATTGTTACTGAGGTGGCATGGTCATCGATGACCATTCTATGCGAAACGATTAGTTTGGCTCAGGAACTAGATCCTTGTAAGGTGAATGGAATGCTGATAAGAGACGTTTTGCAAATGAATGACGGCAATCGAGCAAGTCAACAGAGACTGGACGATGGAAGTCAGCAACACCTGATCTTGGCCCTTGGACCGTATCTCCGGCGAAATTCTCAAACGCACATTGGGAGTCTTACTGTGCCGCCTGCGATACTTCGGTACCTGGAATAATTATGTGTAACGTCCCTCCCTGCGATTCGAACATCCCGCCGCGCCGAACACCACCACCACTACTTCGATCTTGAACGCGTCTTGCTTCCACCACATCTCTTTTATCGCTATAAACTGAACGTAGTAATTTACTATCAACAGTGCTGCACATGCGGATGCCTTCGCAGCCTAAAATTAGAACCGCGTTGAGGTCTTCCATGCCTGTACGTTGCAGTGACCTGTTTGGCGGCAAAGCACACTTCTTCCTCTACAGCGGCACCAAGGCAGTATCGCTGTTCCCAAAACATATAAACAAGCTCTACTAAGACCTGCTAACATCGCAACACCACGTAGAAGTTGCTACAAGCGTGGTGGCTGCTGTCGTGCAAGGTTTCACGCAGCCTTAACGTGCAAGCAGGTACCTCTAGATCAAGCTGCTGCTAACACTGGCTAGCGCAAGACAGCCTTACGCCACACACGCGCTGCTTACGGCGTTAGATAACCCACCTTGTTACATGGCACCGCCTGCGGATGTGGATGGGCATAAGCGTTCAGTTAGCGCATGCGGCTCAGTTGCAGCAAGTTAGTTGCCTAACTGTCGTTACCCGCAAGCGCATGCTTATCACCACACACATCTGCAGCGTCACGGTGAGCAAGACAAAGCGCAGACTGCGTCTTTAACTACCTTGGATGTTACAATTCATCTACTATGCGCAAGCCAGCCAGCAGCTCTGACAAATATTACATGTACTCTGAACACATCTACAATCGTAACAACTGTCCGTGTTATCTGTGCTTGCGTCTGCGGTGCTGTCTACGCAGTACGATGCGTTCATGAGAATGCTACTGCGGACAACCGCAGCGCCCCTACACACAGTCCTATCTTAGCTTGAGCAAAGCCACACGCCCAGATGGACACCCAAGACAGACCATGTCCCTGCATACAGCTGTGTTGTATGTGCGATACTCAAACGGCAGCCACAGAAAGCGCTGCGTATTGCGTAGCACCCACTGGGCCTCTACTGAGAGGTGGGAAGCATACTCTTCTGGCTCCAAAGCCGACGTCGGGTTCAGGTCTGAAGGCAGCGGAATGTCTCCTCGGTCGGTATGCAGAGCACTACCATCTGGCGAGAACGTGAGCTTGTCCATGTAAGAAGAAGGGCTGTCAAGCACGCTGCGACACGTGCCTGTTGCCGTCTCCCACACTCGCACTGTCTTGTCACTAGATGCTGAGGCGACCAGCTGTCCGTCTGGCGAGAACACCACCGCCCAGACAGTGTCTGAATGGCCCTTCAGCTCGCTGCGACACGTGCCTGTTGCCGTCTCCCACACTCGCACTGTCTTGTCGTGGGATGCTGAGGCGACCAGCTGTCCGTCTGGCGAGAATACTACCGCATTGACATTGTCTGTATGGCCCTCCAGCACGCTGCGGCACTCGTCCCAGTCTGCATCTCTGCATGACAGCATCTGCACTTCCTGAGCGACCTGATCAACGAACGTCTTTTGAACAATGCTCCTCTCTGGTGCAAAGACAAGCGCTGACGAGTATACCTGCAGGGGTGCCTCTGCTAGGATTGAACAGAAGCGCAGCACAAATCGATTTGCATCGCGGAAAAAGCCTGCACACGTGCTTTCAGACGACTGCGTTGCAAGTCAGTGTCTGTCTTATGGCGTCTGCCACGCACCGACTCTTACCGCTACCAACGCCTGCAGCCTTGCCAGCAAGCGCACGCACTGGCCTGTCTCTCCCATCAGGCTCATCGCTTCGAGCCAGTGCAGAAGATGCGTCTGGAGAAAGATGTGCACTGCGTCTCTGTCAGCGATTCTCTGCTGGCTGCGCTCAAGGTGCTCGACCCAGTAGCGGCACGCATACTGCAGCTCGGGCGGCAGGCTGTCAGCCACTAGTTCCTCTCCTATCTCGCTACTCAGTATCCCGGGCTTCGAAAGACCGCACATGTCCTGCCGAAGGCCGCCAGGCGCCAACATGAGCTCAAGGCAGCGAGACGCCAGCTTCTCATGTGTGCTCCTCTCCTCTACCCAGAAGCTGTCGTCGCCGCATCTCTTTCTATTGAGTAAGAAGTCGCGGAACGAAGGGTGGTGCAAGCGCACTGGCCGGTTCGGATCTTGTGGGACATCTACAATCGAGTGCAGCTCATACAGCGTTCGATGCACATCCTCTGTAGGAACGCGGCGTAGCCGAGCCAGCGAAGAAGCAGAAAGCGGCGATTGCAGAAGCACGATGGCCCCGAGTGTCTCTCTTATCAGCGTGCACCATCTCTTCCTTTCCTGTTTCCTGTATCTGCGAACGGGGCTCTTGAGCACTGTAAGGTATATGCTGTCCAATCGCTGTTCGGGCAGGATCTCGAAGTGCTCGTCTGTGCCAGAGTCCTCGCTATATGAGCTGTCTCTTGGCGAGTTGCTGTCTGCAGAGGAGCTGTCCTTAAGAACAGCACGCAGTCGGTCAGCAACGAATTGTCCGCCTTCTTGGATGAAGCGACAGGCAGTAGCAGCCCAGATGAACAGACCGCATGCACTCTGCACTAACAGTCCGATGGTCTCTACATCCGGCCAGTCGTCCGCTTGATAGCATTCCTTTGCGATAATTTTGAGGTGGTGCTCGAGGAAGATAGCTATGTCGTGCTCGACAATCGACGGCGAGATGTTGTGTAGCACGACGTCCTTGTGCTCCGCATCCGCCATCTGCCCGAACCCGTGCCGGATCGGCACTTCTGGCCTGCTCGTCAGCAACACCCGCAGCCGGACGCCTGTCATCGACGACCGTACCTCGGCCAGCAGCTGCACGATCATGCGGACGTCGTGCTCATTTTCGCACTCGTCGAGCGCGTCGACAACCACGACATATGACTGATGCTCGTGCAGTTTCGAGAGCGGGCAGAGTACAAGGTGCTGCCACTGGTCGCGCAGCAACTGGCCGACAATGTCGCTGCGCGCTGCAACAGCGTCGCTAATGTGCTGCTGCAACGCTGGCACGCTGTGCGCAAGCTGCACTGCGATGCTCGTGACAAACTTGCGGGCGTGCCCAACGTCGCCGCCGCCGCGCGAGAAGAAGAAGCTCGCTGCCAGACGCTTCTCTTCAAAGTACCTGCGGGCCACCGTCCGCGCGATGGTCGACTTGCCCGTGCCCGCCAGCCCGCTCAGCCAGAAGATGCACCGCTCATCTGTCCTGTCCGCCCAACTGTATATCTCGCGCAAGAGGTCGACACGCGTATTGGTCAGGCAGGTTGACTCGAGCCGCTTCGCGAACGAGTTGAAGGGCGCGTCTTCAGCGAGTGGGAGACGACCAAGTGTGTTGTCGAGTCCTGCTTGAGGTGTCTGCTTAGCGCCCCGCTTCTTCCTGAGAGCTTGACGGCCCTTGGCGGTCCCGCAACGTACCAATGTGGACAGAGCCGTTGATGGTGTTGGCTTGGACGCTGGAGTATGCGTTGCCGAACGCTACGTTGGATGTTGTAGAGGCCATGGTATGGCTGTAGAAGAGCATGCACCATAGAGTCTGCGATGATGGTGTCTGCGGCGCAGCGCTTGCTTGGTCTCAGCCTGACGGCCGCAGCCTGACGACTCTGAGCAGTCACTGACGAGGTCCACGGCTGGGGCCAAGCACATGCATGCGCCTGATCGTCGACCCGCTCGCTCCGCCAGCCTCGCTGTGGCTCTTGTAACGTTAATTGCACCGTAACTCTTAGCTGATTGTACACAGAAATACCTTTGGCATCATTTCTATCGCTAAGTCGCTACAAACATCTCAAAATCGTCCGATATGTACGTCGCCGTGGAAGTCTCTGCCCTGTATGCCAGGTTCATTATTGCCGAACGTCATGTTCGTTATGTTTGCGGATTGCTGAGGTGTAGACCACTCTGCAGACGGCGCACTACTAGTAGTGTCTACCGCGGGAATCCTAGACAACAGCCCTTTAGCGTACGCTGCCGCCGTAGCTGCCGCGTAGTTCTGCCAACCCTTGTTCTTGTGCGAGTCTGCATAGTCGCAGATGCCCCGGACAGCTACACACGGATTACTGCAACACCCCGCCATGGTTGCCTCGAGGAGAGCTGGCAACCAGGAGGAAGTACCTGATGTTGGGGAACCCAGCGTGCATCTTCTCGGCAAGGATTGCTGCATGGCTAAGTCCTATCCTTCTCTGCACGCCAATGACGACCTTGTGTTGTCCGATCCGACCGTATAAGTAGTATACGTTCTGGTGCTGAACGTCCTCTTGCGGGTACTCTTCGTCCAGCACCAGCCTTGCGGCCTCCTTCTCAAGCGGCAGGGGGCAGATCCATCCTATGGTGAACTGATGGCTCCTAGTCATTGTGGTGCGCTCTTGCCTCTTGCGAGAACTACTTGGTATGAAGAGCAGTGCACTTTAGGAAGTGTTGGTAGTGTTACGATCCAGGAGCAACTCGCAAGACAACACTGAACGAACAGGACCACGCAACGATACGAGAGGAGTCGAGGGACTGCAACACAAGCGACCCGAGCAGTTAGATCACGTCGGCAACGCTTAGTATGATCAACACTCTTGTTAGGTCGCGTCGGCAAAGCTTAGTACGATTAGCACCCGCGGTACTGAGCGACCCGAGTAGCTAAGCCACGAGGCGCGTTCGTCAACAAGCAAGTTACCCGAGCCTCACTGCTCGTCAGTGAGTGCTCGTGAACGAGCGTAGTCGATAGGAAGTATATAGCCAGTGGACACGCTGCCCTTATGGCATCGTGTTCAACCTCGTCAATCAACTTTGTTATTGGAATCTCACCTGCTCTTGAGCCAGACAGTATACTCTGTACTACTCATTGCAACCAGTCGCCACGGTCTTTGACTAGACGACTACCCTGACTATTACAACGGTTATTACAACCCGACCGATAGTCAAACCTCTGTCACTCCAAGCTTCGCTTAAGTGATAACCAACCCCTAACGACTTTCTGTACCTCTGCTCATCCCCGAGAACCAATCGAATAGTGCCCACGAGCTTTGCTTAGGACACGACTTCAACAGGTAGCAGGGGGACGCGAGCAACGGCGGTTGAAAGCGGTCGAACAAGGGTTCAGGCAGCAGCACTCGGCTGCGTTTCAGCCTCGTCAACATCGCCAATCGGCTTCTCACAAGAATCAGAACGTCACTTCGTCCCTCGAGCTTCCCTTTGTAGAACTCGATAAATCACTTTGTGTGCATTCGGAATGTATTTATTCTTACGGTGAAATATGTTTAGCGCGAAGGGCATCAGCTCTGAACCTTGAGAGCCATAGGTGCTCAGCCCAGCAGCTCCACCAGAACCACAAAGCAAGCGTTGCAACAGTCAGCGGAACAGAAAGTGCCCAGTACATCCAGAACTGACGGGACACAGCAAAGGATGATCGTCCAGCGTCTCTGTGTGGCTCAAACGAGAAGAAATTGGTTCCAAAGATCGTCCATGCAGCAGGTCGTATGAGCTACACATAAACGTGTGACAGGTAGAGTAGGGACCGGAACACTCACAGAAACAAAGGTTGCTGGCAAGAAAGTCATCGTGACCACAGCGATTGCCTTCATTGTTGACGCTTCGCGCTTTGTTTCCTCTCCTATCAGCAGCTGGACCCTGCTGTCCTTCTGCGCGGCAGCATTGAAAGCTTGTTTGCACATTCTTTGCTTCACTTGCCTGTAGCAGTTCGTCCCATGTTATGTCTTGAGACTGGCATGAATGGGATGCAGTGAGGTCTAGCCGTTCAAGTTAAGACTTGGTCGCACGTTCGTAACTTAGGATACTTGCTTAGCCGGATGACATTGTCCGTGTCCACCGCGAGGCACAGATCCCTTTGTAGTGCTAAGTGATCGCAGTCTGTCGGGTACGCTGCGTACCCAGGTAACGTTAGGCACGGAACATGAGCGAGTTTGGCGGGGCGAGCGGGTCGACGATGAGGCGCATGCATGTGCTTGGCCCCAGCCGTGGCCTTCACAAGTGACTGCTTGGGGTCGTCAGGCTGTAGGCTGAGACCAAGCAAGCGCTGCGGCGCACCATCGTCGCAGACTCTATCACTGTAGACACACCACCGTTGGTGCATGCTCTTCTATAGCGATGCCATGGCCTCTACAACATCTAACGTAGTGGTTGGCAACGCATACTCCAGCGTCCAAGCTCGCACTATTAACGGCTCTGTCCACATTGGTACGTTGCGGGACCGCCCGTGGGCCGTCAAGCTGTCAAGTACATGCGGGACGCTAAGCAGACACCTCAAGCAGGACTCAACAATACCCTTGGGCGTCTACCGCACGCTGAAGATGCGCCCTTCAACTCGTACACTAAGCAGCACGAGCCTGCATGCCTCCCCGACACGCGCGTCGACCTCCTCAATGAGATACACAGCTGGGCGGATGGCCAAGATGAGCGGTGCGTCTTCTGGCTGAGCGGGCTGGCGGGCACGGGCAAGTCGACAATCGCCCGGACGGTGGCGCGCAGGTACCACGACAGGCAGCGTCTGGCAGCGAGCTTCTTCTTCTCGCGCGGCGGCGGCGACGTTGGGCATGCGGGCAAGTTCGTGACGAGCGTCGCAGTGCAGCTCGCGCAGAGCGTGCCAGCTGTGCGGCAGCACATCAGCGATGCTGTTGCTGAGCGCAGCGACATTATCAGCCAGTCGCTGCCCGACCAGTGGCAGCACCTCGTCTGCCGTCCGCTGTCGAAGCTGCACGAGCCAGAAGCAGGGCCAGAAACATACATCGTAGTCGTCGATGCGCTCGACGAGTGCGACAGCGACAGCAACATCTGCATCATCGTGCAGCTGCTGGCCGAGCTGCGGTCGTCGTTGGCAGGTGGTGTGCGACTTCGCGTGTTTCTGACAAGCAGACCAGAAGTACCGATCCAATACAGCTTCAGCCAAGTCCCACACAGGGAGCACCAGAACTTCGCGCTTCATCGCGTATCACCATTGATCATCAACAACGACATCCGCCTCTTTCTCGAGCATAAGTTTCGATTGATTATACAGAAACGTCGTCTTCGTACTGACTGGCCTGGCGCAACAGTCATCGCACAGCTAGTCCAGAGTGCAAGCCGTCTGTTCATATGGGCAGCAACTGCCTGTCGATTCATCGAAGAAGGAGTAACAAGGAGAGTAATGCATGATCGACTGCAAATTATTCTCCAGAGTAGTGAGCCAATCTCTGAACCAGAAGCCCACCTTAACAAGATCTACATCGCTGTTCTCACGTCTTCTGTGCCAATTACACTCACAGAGGAAGAAAAGGAGGAATACTGCCTTCGAGCGAGATATATTCTAGGAAGTTTAGTGCTTTTACTCTCTCCTCTCTCTGCGCTATCCTTGGGTCGACTGCTTCCTTTTGCAGACCTGGTTTCCGAGGACGACGTCGAAGACGTTCTAGAAGGCCTACATGCTATTCTAGATATACCAGAAATCCCAGCTAAACCGTTACGCCTGCACCATCCCTCGTTTCGCGACTTCCTCTTAAGCAAAGACCGATGCGGCGACGACAGATTCTGGGTAAACGAGCGCGGCGCACACGAGGAGCTGGCGTCCTGCTGCCTGCAGCTTATGTCTGGGCCTAGTGGCCTTCGACAGGACATGTGCAGTTTCTTGAAGCCCGGGACGCTGAGAAGCGAGATAGGCGAGGAGACAGTGGCCAGCAGCCTGCCGCCCGAGCTGCAGTATGCGTGCCGCTACTGGGTCGAGCACCTCATGCGCAGCCAACAGAGCATCGCCGAAGGAGACGCAGTGCACATCTTTCTCCAGACGCATCTTCTGCACTGGCTCGAAGCGATGAGCCTGATAGGGGAGACAAGCCAGTGCGTGCGCTTGCTGGCAAGACTGCAGGCGCTAGTAGTGGTAAGGAGTTCGGCAAGTTACACGTTCTTATCCTAAACTAATCTGTGCCGCAGACATCTGCAGATATATGTGCGGGCTTCCTTCGCGATGCGAACCGGTTTGTGCTGCGGTTCTGTTCGGTGCTAGCGGAGGCACCCCTGCAGGTCTACTCGTCAGCGCTTGTCTTCTCACCAGAGACGAGTATTGTCCGGAAGACGTTCGTCAAGCAGGTCCCACAAGCGGTGGAAATGCTGTCGGACAGAGAAGGAGACTGGGACGCGTGTCGCAGCGTGCTGGAGGGCCATTCAGGCTGGGTCACGGCGGTGGTGTTCTCGCCAGACGGACAGCTGGTCGCCTCAGCATCCTACGACAAGACAGTGCGAGTGTGGGAGACGGCAACAGGCACGTGTCGCAGCGAGCTGAAGGGCCATTCAGACAG